TTCTAGGCTTGAACACTGAAAGTCCTAAGTTGTCTTCTTTGGTGTGAGAGACAACTCTTAACTGAGGGACCCTGTGTTTTCCCCATTATACATTCCACAGGTGTTAAATATTATGCACTGGGTTAATGACAGCAGTGGAGTGGGGGTAAAGGGTATTCTCTAGCCAAATAAGCTTCAGAAATACTGGAAGAAATCATCTCTCAGAATCGTTCATCATAAGAAATAACAGGAATCCATAATTAGCATTAGATAAAAGAGTGTTATCTAACAGAAAATAGCCTTTCCAAGTGTTACCCCAGAAACAGCAGAGCAAGCAAACAGAGCATTCAGAGAACAAAGAGAATGATACATTTTTCTCAAAATCTGTGAAATATTGACAGGGTAAGTACTTTGAAATTAGGTTTATACTTGAAATGTAAGTGCAAAGGGTAAAATCTAAATTTCTGGCTTAGGTTTATAAAGGACAGAATCAGCTTTCTTGCTGCTTTGTTTATATTGAAAGGGAAACTGATATTAGGTTGAGACAATGATAAATTGTGTCTGTTCTCGGAGGGTCCACCCTAAGACTGAAGGCAGGAATTATCACGTTTTCTTTAATAGTTCTTTGGCTTAATTAAAACAACTAGCACCATTATTATTAGAGGTAACATTGTATACTTTTCTAGCACTTTACGGAAAGCGTTGTTTGGTTGGGGAAGAAATGCATGGCACTAGGAGATAAGTGACTCCATATTTTGGGCTCAAGATCTCCCTGTATTGCAAGCCAGGAGAAAAGGTGTAGTTCACTTTCCCATCCTCATTATCAATTCCATTACCTGAACTGTAATAATCCTCTCCCTCAGAGGCAGGTTGGGAGATTCAATTGTTTGAAACTGGTTAAACTCTATTTATCATGAAATGCGGGTTATCTCACTTTAATTCTTACAGAGACTGTGAGGTACCACTGGCAAGTCCATTGGCAGAAGAGAACCTGAAGTTATAAAAGGTTGACAAGGTCACCTAAGGATGCCAAGTGAAGGTCATAATCAAATCTCTGTCTCTAGCCATAATGAAACCACCATATAATGTATCCCTTTATCTCTGACCACCAATATGTTATGATAAAGTCACCATCTCATTTCAGTCTCACTGCTCTCCCATTCGCCCTCTACTCTAGAGAAAATGTTCCAAATCTAATTAGAATATTCTTCTTCTAAAAATACCTATCATGTTTTCTAATGCCTGGATGTTCTTAAATGAGAATATGCAGATATATTCCCTGTGGTCTGTGAACTTCTTGAAATTGTAAGTAAATTTTGTGTACATTATTACAGATTTTTTTTTTCTTATCAAAAGACAGTTTAATGCATTAGATTTTGAGAGTTGTCCATAGTTGTCCATGTTCTCACCCAAGGCCTGGGGCCCCTGGCTCACTGAAAAGTCCTAAACATGTCAGCATGGCATGGAAGCATGACTGACTCTTCCTATTTTGCCACCTCTCCAGCCCAAAATACTGAACCACTTGCAGTTTTTCCCACTTATACCAAACTACTTCTCAACTTTGAAATTTTGCTCTGCTCAGAGTTCTTCACCTGGGTTAGAAGGCTGCTCCAGGATAGTGAGTCGTAGCCAGCATATCTTCATCACTTGAAGTCATCATGTTTTAAAAAAATGTGTATTTCATGGATTACAAAAGTATAACTACATGCTGTGCAATAAAGATGCAAGTGTAGAGAGTGAAAGCCCCCTAAGATTCCACCTGCCAGAAAGAATCTCCTTTAGGATTTGGACACTTGGTCTTTATATAGATCTATAAATAAGCTGTAGTTTCTCTATCCTATTCTGCAATTGGATTTTTTGTTTGTGAAACATTTCTTGTTCATCTTTGCAGTCATGTTACATAGATTTACAATGTAAGTATCTAACATTGTCTGTTTAGGTGATTCTTTTCCTGGTTAGTTTAGCTTGTTAGTCCTTGTTCCTCCTCTCAAATATGGCTCCTGTGACCAGCCTTGGTCATTTAATGTTATTCACTTGTATGGGGACTTCCGTACAATTTTCCTGGAAGCAAGCAGCATATATGCAATTTAAAGTTTAACAGTACTGGGAAGCATTCATCCAATGTTCATCTTTATGCAGACACCTATCAACATACTATGCTAAATCTATATATCGATATATAGATATTAGATATATATTTTTTGGAGATAGCCTCTCTCTGTCACCCAGGCTGCAATGCAGTGGCATGATTTTCGCTCAAAATCCGCCTCCCAGCTTCAAGTGATTTTCATGCCTCAGCCTCCTGAGTTGCTGGGATTACAGGCGTGCACCATCACACCTGGCTAATTTTTATATTTTCAGTAGAGAGGAGTTTTCACAGTTTTGGCCACGCTGGTCTTGAACTTCTGGCCTCAAGTGATCCACCAGGCCTGGCCTCCCAAAGTGCTGGGATTACAAATGCGAGGCACTGCGCCTGAACTGTGCTTTTTATAATTAATCATTTGTGCATGTTTCTTAACCCCACTAGACTGCAATATTCTCAAAAACAAAGGTTGCGTCTAATATGTCTTTATGTCCCTCCTAGGTTCTTACAGAAGGTACACAAAATAGACCCTGTAAGAATGAGTGAACAAAATAATAAACAAAAGAATAACTAAGTAATCAGTAGCTCCTCTAACCCTCATACCAAACAGTTTAGAAAAGGGCCTAAGTTTAATCTTTAATGTTTAATGTTTGCTAATAAGTAAATCAGTCAAGGATGGACCCTTTCTGACTTTACCATAACTAGCCCTACCTGATCTTTTTTTTTTTTTTTTGAGACGGAGTTTCACTCTTGTTACCCAGGCTGGAGTGCAATGGTGTGATCTCGGCTCACTGCAACCTCAGCCTCCTGGGTTCAGGCAATTCTCCTGCCTCAGCCTCCTGAGTAGCTGGGGTTACAGGCACGCACCACCACGCCCAGCTAATTTTTTGTATTTTTAGTAGAGACGGGGTTTCACTATGTTGACCAAGGTGGTCTTGATCTCTTGACCTCGTGATCCACCTGCCTCGGCCTCCCAAAGTGCTGGGATTACAGGCTTGAGCCACCGCGCCTGGCCCCCTCCGTGATCTTTTGGGGGAGGTCTCAATTTCCCTGTCTCACAAAGAGGAGATTAGCATAATGCTTCTTCTCATCGAGGCAAGCAACTCAATTTTTTGTCTGTAACCTGAGCATATGCCATAGTTTACTCATCACTTTCTAATCTCTAATCCGACTTGTTCAACAATGCAATAAAATCTCAGGCTAAGGTCAGTGACTAACATAAAATAGTTTGACCTTTTCAGCCTTCTCTCTGTCAGTACTTCAAATATCTACATTTTGGGGGAAAAAAAAAATGAAAATTGTTTTAGAGGAAAGGCCAAATAGGTATCAATCAACTTTCTTGACTATGTTTAAAAGACATCTAATGCTTTAGATGTCACACAGATGATGAATACCCATCTTGGAGTTGCTGAAGTAAATGCTGGGAATGATAACATGTGTTCAGGGATTTGTACTTCACAGGATCTTCACATCCAAGAGCTCCTTTGGTAGAGTGAAGATAATAGGAGAATGAATATGCAGCTTTCAGCTTTGTTGAAGTTATTCTTTTAAACATTCTGAGAACCTCTTGGCCATCTATTTTAAGAATGCATAAATATAAAGGCAAGAGCATTCCCAACCCACATCCCTGTGTATTACCCATGGTGGACATGATTGTCAGTTCTAAATTTAGTAATAGCATTTCTGTTTTTATAACACTTTCATTAAGAATGTTGGGGTGAGATACTAGAAATGGTCAAATGTATAGGCAAAGGAAAATGTAATAAATTCCCTTTTAATCACATAGCACAAAGCTACTTTAAATCTAGTATCTGGCCTTTTTTCTTTTTTTACATGCTTTTTATTCTTCATTGATTATCTCAAGTACTCTCTCAATTGATATTTGATTCTCTTACACTGCTATACTTCTGACTCACCCACCTATTCATTTTTTAATTATTATTCTTTTATTTCAATATTTTTGGGGGTACATATGGGTTTTGCTTACAAGGATGGATTTTATAGTGGTAAATTCTGAGATTTTAGTGAACCCATCACCCAAGTAGTTTATACTGTCCCCAATTTCATGCCTCACCCCCAGCCAACCTGGCTGCACCCAGGCCCCAAAATTCACCGTATCGCTTTATATGTCTCTGCATCCTCATAGCTTAGCTCTCACCCACCTGTTTCAACACCAACCCAGTGTCAACGCTACTGACTTATCATCACTGTTTGAAATCTGGCTGTTTGCAGTGCTGGAAAAATGAAATTACTCAACTTCCTTAACTAGAACAAAAGAACTAGCACCAAATGGTTCACCTTCTGGACTCCTGTACCCGATAAGATTTATCTCATTTCCTATCTCAAAGTTTATATGTGATCCAGAAATACGAAACTTCCAGAAGCTCTTTATGCTACTTGACTTTTTTCACCTGAGTGTGAGAAACTTCTACCTGTGTGTTTTCTCCCTTTTAGCTGAATGAAGCCCAGCCTGCTCTGCTGTGTCTCTTCAAGAAGTCCATCTTGTGCTATGGAAGAGGTCCCACCTTGTGCCCTGATTGTGTTCTTTCTGCAGCTGTTTTTCTTTAATTGTTAATGAGCCTGTATCTCTCACTTGACTGTAAGGTTCATAAGAAAGACTCAATTTACTTTTCTTATAAATGTATAACAGCACATAGTGATCACTTAGCAATTGTTGAACAAAATAGATTCTTCCTATTGTAAACATGGATTTCTAAAGCCTGATAGATGAATCACCTAGATAAGCCAAGTGAATAGAGATGTGTCCAAGGTTAGCCAATGAATAAGTGATAAAACTAATCCTCAAACTCAGGTCTCCTGTCCGCCAGCCACGTCCAGTGCTTTTTCTTCTCCAGTGCAATCACTGCTTGTGTAGGCTGACTGCCTTGGTTGATGGTCTAGGTTGTAGTTAAAGGACTGTGTGCTTTCTGTCTTTCAGGGTGGACATACAGGGTCACTGGGGCCTTCATCTGTTGCGTCTTCATTCCGCCCAGAGGATGAGCTTGAGCACCTAACCAAAAAGATGCTGTATGACATGGAAAATCCACCTGCTGATGAATACTTTGGTGAGTAGGGTCTAGAGCTGACTTCCAAAGTAAATATCTTGTTCAGATTTTCTTACTTAGTAATTGGAAGTATTATCAACTCCACTGGTAAAGTATTTGAGTACAGATGCATGGGAGTTGATATACATGCCCACACAACTAAGTAATTGTGGGATTTGCATTGCAAGACTGCCATAAATGTCATATCTACTTAGATTGTACTAAAATTTCCGTGGTCCTTAGAGTTTCTTTAGATACAAATTTTATTTTTTAAGACTTCTTTTTTACTAGCTAGGCAACATAGTGAAACCCTATCTCCACTAAAAATACAAAAATTAGCTGAGTATGGTGGCATGTGCCTGTGGTCACAGCTACTCAGAAGGCTGAGGCCAGAGAATCACCTGAGCCTGGGAGGTCAAGGCTGCAGTGAGCTATGATTGTGCCATTGCACTCCAGCCTGGATAACAGAGTGAGACCCCGTCTCAAAAAAATAAAGAAGACTTATTTTTTGACAACTTATTAGCTTCCCATTAGGCAGAAATAGGATTTCTGTGTATATTTCCATTTCTCGGTGGTCTAAAGATTTATGTAAAACATGTGGAATTGGATGTCTAATATCTAATTTCCAGATTGTACTCTGAATCCTTTTTTCTATCTGAGTTCAAGAAATGATGTTTTCTTTGTATTTTTAATCTTCCCCTCTTCAAATCTGTGAATAACTTTGAATGGTTAATCCTTCCAGTCCATGAATAGAATGCACATTTATGGACTGTATGCCAATTGTGAGGTCTGAGGACACATACCCTGTCCTCAATGAGGTTAAGATAGTTTAGAAAGAGATAAGACAAGCATACAAATAATTACTAATCCAGGAAGAAAGTGATAAAAATTATGAGAAGACTTAGGTTAATGGTTAGAAGTTTTATTTAATTTTTAAATTTTTTAAAAATTTTTATTTTTTGAGACAGAGTCTTGCTCTGTCACCTCGACTGGAGTGCACTGGCATGATCTCAGCTCACTGAAACCTGTGATCCCGGGTTTAAGCGATTCTCCTGCCTCAGCCTCCCAAGTGGCTGGAATTACAGGAACCCATCATCACACCCAGCTAACTTTTGTATTTTTAGTAGAGACAGGGTTTCACCATGTTGGCCAGCCTGGTCTCCAACTACTGACCTCAGGTAATCTACCCACCTCAGCCTCCCAAAGTGCTGGGATTACAGGCATGAACCACGGCACCCAGCTATAAGTTTTAAAAGCTCTATGTATGAGGAGCATCAGGAATACTTTGTGAAAGAATTGGTGGCACTCAAATCTGCGCCCTTTAAAACCAGTGCCTTTCACTTTTTTTTGATGGAAGACCATCTTCCTTCTAGTCTCTTGGAGAGCAGTATTTTTGTAGAGTCAGTTAAAATTAATTACTAGGGAAATAAAAGACGTAAAATAAGACGGAAGATGAAATTTTATCATTATTAGAGTCAACCATTAACTGATTACTCTTTTAAATTGTTATACTAGTTTCTAAATATTTATTCCTTGTTTCCAGAACTTGTCTCATCCAAAGTGATAAGCATTTCTTAGACACCCATCCATGGGCCACCTTTTTGAGTAGCACTGCTTTAAGGACATATAGAGAAAGGACATTTGGAGAACAGTATTAGTAAAGGCACAGAGGTGTGAAAATTGCACAGGATTTTTGCTTCTTCAAATATTTTCTATTTTCATTTCTTTTTTGCTCCTATATATGTAGGATATGTAATGACAGGTAAACTGACCACACCAGTCCAAAATCACACAGTATATGGAGTAGGAGGTATTCAGATATGAAAAACCTGTCATTTATTTGTATTCAGGTGGAAGTGTAGCTTAGTTAAAAGAGCACAGAGTGGGAATAAAACATCTGGCTGTGGCTGGGCATGGTAGCTTACTCCTGTAATCCCAGAACTTTGGGAGGCCAAGTGGATTACCTCATGTCAGGAATTCAAGAGCAGCCTGGCTTACATAGCAGAACCTTGTCTCTAACAAAAAGACAAAAACTAGCCGGGTGTGGTGGTGGGTACCTGTGGTCCCAGTTACTCGGATGGCTGAGGCAGTAGAATTGCTTAAACCTGGGAGGCAGAGGTTGCAGTGAGCTGAGATTGTGCTACTGCACTCCTGCCTGAGTGACAGAGCAAGACTTCATCTCAGAAAAAAAAAAAAAAAAAAAAAAAATCTATGGTCTCTTCTCTGTTACTTGCTGGCCAAGCAATACTGGCGTTTTACCCATCTGCCTGAGCCCCATATCCCACCTCAGTATATCAATGATTGGGAAAAATGTTCTCTAGCATTTCTTTCAACAGTAATAAGTTCAATGTATAAACATCATAATCCAAAGACATAAAACAATAAAGCTAAAGACAAATTGATGGAGATTAATAACAATGCATGGAGAACAGTAAAACAAAACAAAACGTAAAAAATTCACAGAAGTCTCTAGTTATATCAAAATGTGCGAAAAGTATGTTATCCTCTTGTCATTGCCATGTGAGGAGGATTTATAATGGAGTCTAAGATAAATTTTTGAAAAGTGAAAACTCAGGTCTCTGTATTAGGCCCTATTAAAAAGGACTTACCAAGTACATATGCTTCAGATATCATAGCAACCAAACGTATAGCCACAAAGAAAACTAAACATAGATGGTGATTGAATGAATGAATATATATTGAACACTGAGAAACAGATATAAGTTATTATTCTTGCCTTCAAGAACTGTCCAACCTCTACTACTTAGTAGCTCAGAAAACTTAAACAAGTATCATTCCCTCCAAACCTTATTTTTGTTTTGTTTCATCTGTAATATGGGAATAATAACCAGCTTATACTGTTGCTGTGAGAAATGAATGAAATATTTATAGAAAGCACTTAGCCAAGTTCTTGGCATGTAGAATATGCTCAATATTCAAAGTTCTCCCATGCTCTTGGGGCTTATAGTTTAGTTAACATAATAAGATATGCTCATTAAAAATCCATTAATAACCCTTGATTTAAATTTAAGTTCCTAGCAACAGAACATATGTCACCAATTGGTAAATAATCATTGCCGACGGGGATCACTAACCATTTCAGTATCTGGAAAAAATGATTAACATTTGAGTGCTTATGATATAGCAGCACTATATTTTATTTATGTTATAGGAATTAACCCATTTCGGATCTTACTGGAAAACAGAACCCTGGGAAGTAGATACTATTGTCATTTTCAGATTTTGAAACTAAGGCACAAAAATATGAATTTGCCTAATGTCAACAGCTAATATATTACAGAACTGAATTAGAATCCAGATTTGTACATTTAAACACCACACTGTAAAAGATGGGGAAAGCTAGCCAGCCTATATATTTATTTAGAAGAGTGTTTATGGTGGAGATTAGCTTTGGACAGATGGGAAATAAGAGATGAACATTCCCTTCTAAGTACACAGAATTAACAAAATATAAGTTGAGGCCAGGATTATTTAAAGAAAATTTACGTTAAGTAGAAAACACAAAAAAAATATGCCTATGATAATATGCAGGCTGCTCTGCTAGATGGTGGTGGGGGCAGATGGGGGTCTTACCTTTGAGGTTCTTAGAGTCTAATAGGGTATGTTTACAGGGTTATGATGTTATATTATCACCACAAGACAGAAAGTGACAAGGGACTTAAGCAATGTCCACCAAGTGTTCTTTGAGAATTCAGAAAAAGGAGAGAGAAAATCAAGATAGAAGAATAGAAAAGTGTTTATGGAGTAGTTCACCGCTGAGTAAGTCTTCTTTTTTTTTTTTGGAGACGGAGTTTCGCTCTTGTTACCCAGGCTGGAGTGCAATGGCGCGATCTCGGCTCACCGCAACCTCCACCTCCTGGGTTCAGGCAATTCTCCTGCCTCAGCCTCCTGAGTAGCTGGGATTACAGGCACGTGCCACCACGCCCAGCTAATTTTTTGTATTCTTAGTAGAGACGGGGTTTCACCATGTTGACCGGGATGGTCTCGATCTCTTGACCTCGTGATCCACCTGCCTCGGCCTCCCAAAGTGCTGGGATTACAGGCTTGAGCTGAGTAAGTCTTTTAAACTGTGCTAATTGAGATTTGGAAGTAAGAAGACAGTAGAGGAGTGAAGTGATTACTCAGGAGGGGAATTTTGACATAACAGGGAACATTGGAGTGAAGTGTCCACGTGAGAAGTAGCAAATATTGGGAAATAAGGTGGATGTAGCAGGTTAGGACCAATCTAGCGAAGGCTTTCAATGTTTGGCTAAAGGCTAAGACCTCTGTTGTCTATAATGAGCCCTTGCACATTGAGATCATATGCCATGAAAAGGGCTCCATGAGTAGTGGTTACAAACATGGACTCTAGAGGCAGGATGCCTTGATTTGAATGTCCGCGCTACCTCTTACCTGTAAGATGAAATCAAGAGTCCTTTGACTTGTGAATTTAACTCTCCTTTATTGTTCCATGCTTTAAACATTTCTCAAGCACCTTCTCTGCTCCTGTTACTGTGCTGGGTGTTAGGGACATCCAAATGCAGAGGGTCTGTCCTCATGGAGCTCATGGGTTCCCGGGAAAGACAAGAGAGTCACAGATGTCAGGGATTTCAGTGCAGATATCAGCACTATGTTAGATGTGACTGATCTGCTGTGTGAGGGTCAGTAAGTCCACCTGAAGATGAACATAAAGATTACACAGCAGTGTGTTTGCATCAGCAGAGCCTGACCCAAGAGCGACAGATAAAGTCATCTCTTGCTCTCTGTCAGTTTTACCTTTGGCCCATTCTGGACTGAAAACAGCATTGTCAAGCACTTCCCTTAAATAACGTCTCTTTTTTGTAGTACTATCTTCTCAGCCCTGCCAAAACCGCACTCTTTCTCTCCTACTTTGCCTGTTTCATGCTGGAATTTTTATTTAAATCATAGCTAATTTACTGAAGGTAATTAAGTGCTTTCATGTCATAGATCTCCTGCTAGACTACAAACTGCACTAGGGAGTGAAAGAGAACAAAAGGTGA